AGGTAAACGGGCGTAGCACCAGTTCCGTACATGGCAGGTGAAGTTTCCGGAGAACTTCTTCTTGCTCCGTGGCAACCACGCGCCCCGTCTGTTCCCTTGTCCGTAGGCATGTTCGATACTCTAGCGACTCTAACTACGTACTACAGCCTATACCCTCAATCCTAATGGTCCTAATGGCTAGGTCCCAATGTCGTGACCATGAATCCCAAACCCTATGCCTTCATGCAGCAGAGCGTGCTCGTCCGAGGAATGCGCATCGATCACTCGCATCTACGGGCACCATGTCTGAAGATGGTTCGGAGGACTAAACCCTAAACCCTTAACCCGTAAACCTAAACCCTAAACCCTAAACCCATGGTTCGGAGGCCGGCTTGAATGAAACCAAGCCCTTACAGAGAAATGCTCAACGGTTGACGGCGTTTCAGCAGCATGTCTCTCTTCCTCAGCACCTGCAAGTGGCCGTGGATGAATACCAGGCGTAAGAAGGACCGGATATGTTGGGGGAAGTTTCCGTCAAAGATGTATGAGCTGCGGGATGCTGAGGGATCATGCTTCCAATCCCTCAGTTTCCGACTGTAGGCAACTCACATGGGGGTTTCCGAAAATAGGGGACCCTAATATAGTACCCTAAATAATAGGATCCTTAATATAAGGACCCCAAAATAAGGTACCCCTAATTTTCGGAAACCCCCACATCAAGATGCAGGCTGTTCGGGGATCCGGGAGCTGGGCTCACTAGACAAAGCTTTGGGGGACTGCAGCCTACCTTAACCTACCAATACCTACTTTTTTGTAGGTTCTTATTGTAACCTTAAATATGGAATTTATAGGGACCCTACAAAAAAGTAGGTTTTGGTAGGTTAAGGTAGTTAATGCATCTTGTTTCCTAGCCAGCAACAAACATCGCAGTTTCTATGTGTGTTGGTGTTGTTGTTGTCGATTTTATCTGCGACAGTATATGTGCCCTGCCTGGCAGACTGGGAGCCACTTCTTTCACCCGAGCCGGCCTGAGGTTCTACGATGAGTGTAAGCGACGGTACAACATCAAACTATGGAAGCAGTTTTGCCTCTCAGCTGCAACGGATTTATCTGAGTTAGTCTTCATGTTTGTCTCCTTTTCTGTGCCGAGCAATAGCAGCCTTTATTTGGCTCTCAGGAACGACCTGAGAAGGGGAGGGTGATCGGCGTGGCTGGTTCAATTAGGATGCAGGGATGAAGTATAAGGTGTAGGGTTTATCGTGGTCCTGGCCGGGCGAGCTCCAATCAAGCGTGTGTAAATAGGGTTTATGTTTCGGGGAGGCAGGGGGGGGGGTGGAATCGGCCTACATAGCCACTTTTGCAGGTAACTTGCGCAAGTCGGAGTTCTAGCTAGATGGCCCGTGGTCCACCGGTAGTCTACCTCTCACTCATGTGGAAGCTATCTGATTATCTGGAATCGATTCACACTCAGCTAGCATCTGATGCTTGATGTGTCGTAGCACAACAACATGTAGCATCTGTAACCGGTTAGAGCTTGACCAGTTAGTCGTCCCAGTACAAGCGTGCCACAGTACACGTTGAACCTGCACAACGGCATGCGCCAGTTGTACGTGCAGCATCGGGTTTCTGAGGTCCCTGTTGTTGTCGCGTGAATATCTCCCAAAGCCTACACCCGTAGTTCCTGGAGCCGTAAACCCTTCTGGGAAGCCTCCCTCCGGGCCTGCGTCCCGACATCTTGCAGACCGGAAACTTAGGCGACGTCTTCAACTGCATGCCCGTGTGCGCAATCATTGACGAGCCTCGTTCTGCACTGTGGGAGTTCAATTTGTCAAAACTGTTAAAACATCAACGGTTATCATGATGTTTGCCTTATCAAGCCGATTTTGAAGAGCAACAGGAAGACTAATATTCGAAGGTCCTTCGATGTGCGCTCTGCATGCTTTCCTGTTGATGCCTTGCTGAGCGACAGCATAGACTTGTGCGACTGACGGGAGCATGCCGGTCCTGAGGAAAAGATCATCTGCATGCATGGAGGCCGGTTTTTTGATTCTGGCTTGCGCAGCCGATGGTAGGTGGAATACTGCCATGGATCCATACGAAAGGAAACACTTCGTATCATTGTACGCAAACAGTAGTCGCGACAGCCAGAGTCATTGTGTACATAACATAGATGCTGTCATGTTACTGGTGCTTCAGACTAGGATGCTACTCGAAGCATAAGACAGACGTAAAGGGATGCTCCACTCGCTGAGCTCCGGTATGGCATGCCATCATCGTCTTTCGATACATCTGCGTTGATGCGAAGCAGCCTAAATCGCAATTAGTCACATCAAACACACAGAGATAGCAATGTTTCCTTTGCATGCAAAATCTGGTGCATCGTAGAAATGCCATCGCAGTTTCAACTTAAAGCCAGTTTGAGATGCTCCAATCCCAAGATGGCGCGTGTGCGGCAGGTATCACGAACAGTCGATGCCATAATTGGCCCTGGGCCTTAAGCCCCAAACCCTATAAGCCCTAAGCCATATAAACCCTAAGCCCTATAAACCCTGAACCCTGAATCCTATAAGCCTAAAACGCTACAGCTTCAGCCCTTCGTCTGCGTTCCGCAAGAGGCCTGTCGCCAGAGATCACGAGCTTCGACCAGGTGAAGCGCATCGTCCGCCCAACCGATGTGCCGGACACAGGCCAGGTCAAGTAGTAGAGGGGCCTAAATAATTTTAATTAACAATACTATTTTGAGAGGTTCCTTATTCTACTTATACTAGAATATACACCAAAACCCCGTTCTAATTTTTTACGGCCCCTGCATGCACCCATCGACGTGGGACACAGATAACCCCAAAGCCCGACTCGTCCCAAACTGTGAAGTCGAAGCTGGGAATAGATGGAGCCCGCAGGACGCTCGGGATGGTCTCGATCTCGATATCGTAGGGGCCTTAATAATTACCTATATTATTTTGGGGCCTCCTTATTATAAGTATCCTATAATGGGCCCCAAAACCCTATTCTAATTATTAAGGTCCCCATATTAACCCGACAGCCCTTCACACAGGTCTTATCTGTGACCTGCTGTGGGCTGACCCCGACAAGGACTAAGGGAAGTTTACCTTTCAATCCTGTGGGATTGTGCCAGAGAGTTCGGGATTTGGGAGAACTAAGCCGGTCCTTGAGGGAACGGCGTCGTTTGGAGAGTGTTTCGGGCTTGACAGTTTTGTTTACAGGGCAGAAACAGCGGTTGAGGGTTTAGGGGGAGTTGCGGATACAGTACTCTCGGAAAATTAAGCATCACTTTCTGATTACCCCATCATGGCCTGCGGCAGGCCTTGTTACATCGGTCTAGAGTTGAGAGAAGAGGAGTACTTGTTGCGAGCTGAGCGCCGAAGCTTGAGGACATCTCCGGCTGGGCAGAGAACGACCGTGGCGTGTGCCGTGCCTGTCAAATGAGCGCCCCGCTAGGATGCCAATTCGATGCCTCAAGGTTGAGTTTCTCGAGCCTGCACGCAATCTTACCACATTGACTGCTATCATCTACTAGTAAGGCGATGACGATGGCGACGACGACAAGCTACTGCTCACTACTACTTACTACTACGACTACTACTACTACTACTGCTACTACTACTACCACCACGACGACGACGACTACCACTACTACCACTACTATTACTAGAACTACTACGACGACGACTACTACTACACCACACCTACCAGTGCCACTCCGCTACCACTGCCCCTGCCACTACCACGCATGCTAGTAGTAGTAGTAGTAGTAGTAGTGGTAGTAGTAGTCCTACTACTACCACTACTACTACTACTACTACTACTACTACTACTATCTACTACTACTACTACTACTACTACTACTACTACTACTACTACTACTTCTACTACTACGACTACTACCACTACACTACTAGTACTACTAGTACTAGTACTACTGCTACTGCTACTGCTACTGCTACTACGACGACGACGACCACTACTACTACCACCACGACGACGACGACCACTACTACTACTACTACTACTACTACTACTACTACTAGCCCCTCCCCCCTACCAACTACACTTCGTCATCGGCATCAACATCATCATCATCATCTTCATCATCATCATCAGCATCATCCCACAATCATCTTCAACATCATCCACAAATCATCCTCCAACACACAATTGCTCTTGTCCATGTTGGCACAACATCCATGTTAATTGGTATTTACAACACTTTCGTCATGTAGGATCATCTTACGTGACGATCCAGGTCCTTCATCTTCGGCCCGGATGTTGTAACGACCTTCCTTCACAAACATGCTGCTTGGCGTGGTTCGTTTTGTATAGAATCACCAGTGATCCGAGGTCACTAGTCTCGCCACTACCAGTGCCCGTGTCTTCTGCGTTCTCCAGTTTCTTCAAGAGAACCCTAAACCCTAAACGCTCCCTTCGAACCGGACATGCCTCGCCTGCATCGTTCGAGTCGCGAGAGTCCGAACAATAAGGAGACAAAGAACCTAAAATCTGCAATACATGAAATTTAGTGGAAGCTGAAACTGTGCTGCAGCTCGAAGCGGGTAGAGTAGCACGAGCCTTGCAAGAGATGCGACAAGTATAGAAGCCAAAGCAATTTGTAACACTACCTCAAACGCCGGTTGACTTGTTCAGGCCCCTACATTATAGTACCGTCTCGAATCTAGAAGTGCTGGAGAGTGTAGCACCATGGGTATCAGAACCGTGGTCCCGCATGTCGGGCTAAGATCTGGAGGCAAGACTCGAAATAAGAAGCAGCATTGAACATCAAAGACTTGGGGTTTCACTGCATGCGCGGGCTGCAAAGACAGTGCAGCTGCAAACAATCGCCTATAAACAAATCCCACAACAACACCGACGCAACAACGACTGCCGAGCCACAGCACCACCAGCTCAGCACTAAGCCCACAACAGCTTCTCACTAGCCTGTGCGCAAAAAAATGTTTAGGGAAGTCCGATCTAAGATTGTAGAAGTCGTAATTGAACCTGAGGACATGGACTTGGTATGCAGGGCCCACCAAGTCGTCGAGGATGGTCGCTTCGGCCACACATAGCGGAGCTTTTGGTCTGGGGGTTGCAGGGGCGTTGATGCAGAGCCTCTGTCAGAATCCTTCAGAGCCACGGTTTAGGGTTTAGGGTTTTAGGGTTTTAGGGTTTAGGGTTTAGGGTTTAGGGTTTTAGGGTTTAGGGTTTAGGGTTTAGGGTACCAGAAACAGCCGGTGTATCAACAAAGGCTTCCAACGGATTCTCACGTGTGTCGGGGTTTGCTTCACGTGACAAAGAGGCGGCTGGAGCACAAATCATATAGGTGCCTTAATGATTAGAATAGGCTTTGGGGCATATAATACTATAATTATATTAAGGAACCTTCAAAACCCGACTTTCCGCTGGCTTGACGCTGCAGGCTGCAGTCTGAAGCCTTGGCCTGGTTGTACAAAAGATTCTCCGGACGTGTGAGGGAGATCCTATTGTTTTGTGCACATGCCAGTGGAAAGATCCGTTCTCGGTGTTTATTTATCCTGCCAGATTGTCGGTGTTTTTTTTTGTTCTCTTCTGTGCTAGGAATTCTCGTTGCTGCTGATTTGCTTCGCTCGTTACATTACATCTGTTACGTATGTTGGTGCGAGTAAGCGAGAGCAGCATGATCATGTACTGTGCATGTCTGGTTATCTGTCTAGTTGTGTTTGACATTGCTTCTCTGATCTAAGACTCGCTTGTTCCCAACACGGGTTAGGTTAGCATGTGCTGTTTGCGTTGCTGAATTTGTAGTTATCGCAAGGTGCCTTCGTGATGTAACTAGTCACATGCATGTTAGTCTACATGTTTATGCAGACAAAGTCATACACATACATAAACACAGATGCGCATTCTTTTGAGCACGGCCAGCTACTGGGTAGCGCAAGGCATTGCAGCATGATTTGCAGTTGTTGATGTGCAGCAGCTCTTACAGCATTCTGCTGTGCCATCTTCACGGCGAGCGCATCGTACTGTTATCCGTAGGAGTACAAGAGGACCACGGAATAATTAATGTAAGAATGTGAGGGCAGGTGGCTGCTTTATCGCGACTCAGAGTTCGACGATGGGTTGTTTGTGTGAAGTGCTGTTTCATTACAGTTGGGGCGTGCTGCGTATAAGCCATTCAACATGAAGTTTCATCACCAAGGGTACGAGTTCTTCGCCAAGCGACAGCTGATCACGCTTTTCAGCGCTCCGAACTATTGCGGCTTGCATGACCTTGTCCTCATGCAGTGGGTGCTGAAGTGTGGTTGGAGCCACAGGGTTCCCTCCTTGGGTCGACGTGTGCAGCTTTTTTTGGATATTGACTGCAGCTTGTGCTTATCTTGCATCGCTAAGCCGTCCTGACGTCAATGGGCCGAGTAGCTTAGAAAGCCAGGCTGCCACAACTCCGTCCCCGCGAAGTTTCCTAAATGCGAGCTAAGATACATTGGCAGCTGGAAGGATTCCGTGTGAGTTCGTAAGCTAGTGTATTTGCACGGTTTTTACTTCAAGTTGCGCTCACAGTGATGATCCCAATTTCTACAAGTCTTCATTGACATAGATTCATAGAACCCTTACAGATTCTTTTTGACCACAAGAAGAAAAAAGGAAGCCCTTTGAATGCCACTCTGAGGTGGTGAGTTCGACAATGCCGGGGCAATGATGTCCATCGACGACACACTCATGCGACCCGCCCCGAAGGATTTGACCGAGCAAGATCATGCCCTCTACAACTGGAGGAAAACCAGACGTTTAGGATTTAGTCAAGCGGCTAGGGCTGCTTGCTCCAACTCCCGGCGAAATGGAACGCCTGTTGCAAAAGGAGTTGAGGAACCACATGCATACCCAAAGGGTCCAAGTACCATTATAGTAGGTACTTAGTAGGTATTTGGGCCCCCAAAGTATATACTATACTAGTACTTGGACCCTTTGGGTATTTGGGGTGTAGCAGAACTGAGCGTTAAGGACCTGAGTCCGCAATCTTCATTGCCTCCAGCACCCGAGGCCCCAAGGTCTGCAGGGCCTGCTGCACCTTCAGTTCATGATTGAAGTGGCTAGTTCTCTAACTTAGGGTCCCTTTTGAGGTCCCCAACATAGTACGGCACCCTTATAAACATGACCCTAAAAGGGACCCTTATTTAGAGAACTACCCATATACCGTCGGACTGTTTTAACTTTCGAAAGTGGGCCGGCGCTTGATTTCCTGTTTCGGTGTCCTTCGTTTCTTCTTGTCGGAGAAACCATATCCCACCATATGTTTATAATATAGGGGCCCTGATAATTACCTATACTCAATTGGGGGGCTCCTTATTATATTTATAGTATAATGCACCCTCAAACCCTATTCTAACTATTAAGGCCGCTACATTACTCCGCTACATCCCGAGACTCCTCGAGCTCCGGGGTATCCCAAACCTGGGCCCTCAAGCCGAGAAGACTTAAACTCTACACCTACACACCCTCCTTCAACCCCTTTAGGGTTTAGGGTTTAGGGTTTAGGGTCTTGTTCAGAGAACGGGTGCGACACGTCCAGGCGAGGTTCACGCAAGCCTGTGCAAAAAGGGTTTAGGGTTTAGGGTTTAGGGTTTAGGGGTTCAGGTGCAGCTTCAAAGTCTTGAAGCCCGTGAAGAAGAAGTGAGCTTTGAGGCGGTTTAGGGTTTAAAGCTTTCGGCGGGGTCAATGGCGCTACCTACTGTGTCGTTCGAGGGGACTTTGGGGATGTGTTCCGGGCTCAGGGGTTTAGGATTTAGGGTCTAGTACTGTAGAAGTCTCAGCTTTCCGTGTGGGGCTCTAGCATTTGAGAGGGGGTTGGAAGGTCAAGGCTTTGAGGGTCTCTGGGCGTCTAACATAGGCTCCATAGTAGAATATACCACTACTATACCCCAAAACCCCTATTCGAGTTATTAAGGCCCCTACCTTAGGGCTGTTGGAGGGTCTTGAATTGGAGCTTGCAGGCTTACTTCCGTAGGGTTTTCGGTTTAGGGTTTAGGGTGGTAGACCAGCCTTGCGATCCGGCGCTGTATCTTAACATCGCACAAGGTCCCCTGTTGTGCAGCTATCCGACAAGCAACAAAACCCACTCCCTAAACCCTAAACCCGAACCTCTAAGTCCAAAAAAAGCTCTTAAACCCCGCCTCGAGCCCTGAGCCGGCAGAGCCCTAAACCCTAAACCCTAGACCCTAAACCCAAAACCTTAAACC